TATAGATATTATAAAAAAATCAACACAAACAAGAACATAAAAAATTAAAAAAAACAAAGTTAATTCTGAACGACCAACAAAAATACGAAATGAAAATCCTACTCGTGACGCAAATTCTACTCTACATTGCAAGGTGATCCGTAATTCTTACATAATAACATTGAAAGTACAATGTACAGTAGAATTTGCATCACGAGTAGGATTTTCATTTTATGTTTTTGTTGGTCGTTCAGAATCCTACTTAACCTTGTTTTTTTAAATTTTTTATGTTTAGCCCATGGCTTTTTCCGAAAAATGGCTTCAAAATCAACCCCAATTTTAATTACATTTTCTGATACATGCATGTATTTCCAGTGAAATACAACCCCTATACGGTACTTTTTTGCATATTATCTTATTTTTATTTAGTTGTTGTGTGATTTCTTCATGTCAAGAGGTTTCAGTGAATTACCTCAAGTTACTGTTAATGGAGTTGTACTGGAGCTGGAGGATGAAGTAAGAGAAAGAATAAAGAGAGAGAGGGAGGGAGCAAGGGTATTCTACAAGAAAAGAGATAGTTACAGTATTAGTTATTAGATTTTTCTTTTAGGATCTTCAGAATGCAATAGTTAATGAAGTTCAGCATCAAACATCAGAAATACAGCAACTAGTTTATAGAGTAAGTGATACACTTGTACATGTACATTGTAACTTTCCTTTATATCTCCATCCTACTTGTACATGAAATCATGAATACTTTTTTATTACTTTATCGATAATTAATTGTAGTTTGTGCATCCATTATTACACTTCTCTCTCTCTCTCTCTCTTTCTCTCCCTCCCCAGAGAAGGATCACTGATTCTACTAATATTTACAATCATTTCATGTCCAAGCCTAATGTCCTCCAGCGGCTCAATAAACACGTAGCTAATCTTGATAGTTTAAAGGTTGATCTCAGTGGAGTCTGGTCAGGAGGAGACCTTCCTCTTACATTACTCACAAAGGCTCAACTCTCAGCTGCAGTCGCCACTCAAATGAACTATTTAACCAGCAAAGAAGGTATGTATATTATACCATAAAACTTTTTTGATTTTTTTTGTGCTGATTAAAATGTATCTTCAAAATAAAGTTGATTTTTTACTGATTAGCAACATTTTTACCCACAATTTTTGCAAAATGCAAAAAATTAAAGATGATTACAAATAATGAATAATGTAATTTTAGTAAAATTGTGGCGATTTAAATGTGTCTCTAATTTAAGTATTTTTTTTACTGATTAGCAAAATTTTATACCCTCAATTTTTTGCAAAAATTTATTCACAAATAATTTATTTTTTACTCTTTTTTGTCCCAAAAATTTATGTAGGTGAGTTTACTATGAAGCTAGTCAGTCTGTGGGTTGTGTCTGATTTGTCCACTTCCTCTGGTCGACAAATGATCTTGAATGTATTGAAATTTATGGTAAATTAATCCTCTTATTATTTACTTTATTTATTTATTTATGATTATTATTATTATTATTTAGACCACCCTAGGCGTGAATTGGAAAAGTTATGAATTTCATTAATTTTATATACAGTACCTGCCTACACATCATAATTGGCCGCCATTTTGGTTGGCAAGTTTATTATGGAAGTCAATGGAGGCACGAAGAAAATGCCTCACTTACCTGCTGTAGCTCTATCAATAGCTAAAAAGTGCTTGCTATAAGAAAGAACAGCT